GTCAGATTGCCGAGAAAATTCAGGGAAAAAAATGTAGAGAAGTGATTAGTGTAATTTTAATTGCAGATCAATGAAACATCAATGATTGGATCAATGATGAATCCCGACATCAGATCGATCTGTAAAACGGATTTATTAAATTCGACGGGGAGAATCGACTGGGGAATGGTGAATATATGAAGGAATATATGACCGAAAAATAACTTATTAATTGAATTGTGCATTGAAGGTCTTCCGGGGTGTGGTGACCTCGTCATCGCAGGTATTTGCCGTTGATAATGTGATTGCTGGCTCTGTCATTTATCTTGCCATAATGATTTATTCACCTACCACTGCCCTGTTCTCATTAATTGGCGCGATAATTGGATCGCTCTCAGGTAAGAATAGTCTCGGATTGAATATACCGGTGATTTTTTTCTTTTACCGGCGCTATCCGATCCCTGGGATATCGTTTTAAAGGATAATGGAGGTCAATTCGGTCCCCAGAGTCTGCGGCGGGCATTAATTGATGAATTATCCTCCAGAGATTCTAGTTGGACACACGGAAAATTTAATCAGTCGCGAAAACAGGCTCGGGTCATACACGTTTCCGATAATTAACGTCCACTCCAAATTGTTCCAACGAATTCGGACGAATTTGAAGGAAAATGGTGGGGGAGTGGGGTAATATTGATATTTAATTCTCTCAAATTTTTTCTCTTTTCTTTTCATTATTTTTTTTATAAATTCGAGTAGCTCCCGCTACACAAATTTGATCCCAAATTTTATTTATTATTCTTTTAAACTAAAAAGATAAAATTTAAACAAAAGATGAGATTCCATAGGTAGTCCACTCAGGCCTTGAATAAAAATATGAAAAATCATGATGTGGGTTAAAAATCGTTAATTACAGCCCTTGGACTTGGTGTGCCGTACGAGGGAGTTTACTCAGGGCTCTGGGGCTACAACAGTCTCTTATCTACTTCATCCCTCGGTGGAATTTTTCTCGTTTTAAATCCTCAGACTGCCCTCTTGTCGTTTACTGCTGGAACATTCACTGTACTACTCCAATACACTCTCTATTTTTTCCTCTCAAAGGTAATCCTAGTAAATTATATAATGATAATGCTGCAATCCAAACCGAAGTTAATCCCCACTCTCTTTACCATTTCAGATGCAACTCTCTGTCTTAACAATTCCGTTTGTAGTGACCCATTATCTCTTTATCACGGTGAGAGACGTTACGGATCCCGTATATCCTGAGCCCATGAACATTACTTTCCCTGAGAAACACAGGGCGCTATTTCAAAGGCTCAGGAGATCGTCCGACCAAGACGAGATTCCAGCAAACGTTTGAGCATGTACCAGACTCATATAGAACCAAAATTCATGGTTGTTCTATTTTTTGGAAAATTATCGATGGGACTGATGGGAGACTTGAGATTTAGATCGATGGTCCTGAATTTTCATGAATTTTCTTTACAGTTTTGTGATTATTTTTGAAAATTTAGAAAAGAAGGTGAAAAATAATTCCACCATCTTGAAACTTTGGGAGTCATTGAATAATTTAAAAACGCGAAAAAATGTTCATTTTGACAAAATACCCTTCATCACCGAAATTACTCATTCAAATCTATTCTTTAATTGGAATTGGCTATCTAATATCATTTTGGAAATTGTATTGCTAAAAATAAAAATTTCTCTTTAAAAAATATTTTTTTTTTCCATTTTAAAAAATATTTTTTTTTATTGATTTTTTTTTTCATTTTAAAAAATAATTCTTTTTTCATTCAATTTTTTTTTTCCATTTAAAAAAATAACTTTTCTTTTAATTTTAGCTTCGAGCTCTCAAGGCTGTAAATCTGTAAAAAATAACGAAATATTGTTTGTTTAAAGCAGATAAACACTTTGATCGACTCGAATAATCGATTTATTAAAGTTGAGGGTTTCTAGCTTTTCAATTTATTTGTAATAATATGTCATTTTGTAAATTGTGAATTCAATGAATCCCAATTCACCAAAACATGAATTTTCTCCAATAAAAATCTCCAATAAAATCTAGTTTCTCAAACTTCACTACCAAAACCAAATCTTCGCCTCCGAAAAACAAAAAATAATCTGTTTAATTAATTAATTTAATCAATCGAAATTAATCAAATCCCTTCCCCTCCAACTAATCAAAATGGAATGATTAAAATAATTCCAATAAATTAGCAATAAAATGATTTTCAGATAAAAACAAGAATGGAAAATAAGAATACTATTGAATTTTTTTAATCACAAACTTTTCGACG